AGAGGCCTGTTTTTTGCTTCCTTTTTTTTAAGGGGGGGGGGCGGGAATTTGGTACGTCCAAAAAGATACATCATTGTTGAAGCTATGGTTCTTTCTGTTTTGATCTTCTTCAGGTTGATGTTAATGTTTATTTTATTGTTATTGCCTAGAACATACTTTGCATTAGCTTTCAACCGTAAGTAACAAAAGTTTAAAATCAAATATTTCTTTTTTTTTAACTGTTTGCCCGTTTGCTTGTTTTATATCATACTTTCTGGCCCTTTTAAGCCCTGATATTTTTAATTGCGAGATTAAGTTTGTTTAAAAGTGTGTGGTTGTATGTGGGGGAGGGGGTATATTTACTACCTAATACCAAAAAAAATGCGTTTCGAAAAACTCTCACTAAAGCAATGCTCCTGAGTCCTGAAACAAAGTGAATCAGCACATTGCAATATCAGTGTAACGTTTGTTTATCTAACCTCATCCTGTCTATCATCATTCATTCTCTACTTCTTTTGTATGTTTGTCACTCTCTTGTGAACTGCTATTTTCGGGGTGCCTTGATAGTCGAAGTAGACTTTGTGCTGTTGAGGCTTGAGGGGTGAACAGAGTACGCCTGATTCCCCGTCTGGATTTCTCTGTTGACATCCACCCCTTGGCGCTCATATGACCTTCTGCAGTTGCTAGCGCCGTAAAACCTTACTCAAAGAAACAAACCCCTTTTTTAACTTTGGCAGAAAATCATCGGCAAGAAGCGGTCATCCAAGTGGTTAAGTACCTCTGTTCCTGAGGAGAAGTGGGGCGAAGAGAGTGCTCAATACGCCTCCCTGGATTACTTTCACAATAACCTGCTGGTATGTCGTGAATTCATCCTACTGTATTTCTTTTTTTTTTTTCCTCTCTATGCACTCTATCTGGCGCTTCAGGGCCTCCTTTCATAAAAAATTCTTTAAATCTGCTCAAATCCACCCCTCCCCCCTCCCCCTAAACTGCAACCCCCACACATTGGAGAGAACAGCTAAACAAACACACATGCGCACTTGCTCTTTTTCTTTCGCTTTTGCTTTCTCTCTCTCTCTCTCTCTCTCTCTCTCTCTCTCTCTCTCTCTCTCTCTCTCTCTCTCTCTCTCTCTCTCTCTCTCCCCCCTCAACCTCCCACTTCTTCCCACAACCAACAACCACACCCCCCCAATCACACAAAACATCTTCCGCACTTTTCCCTTCCCAACAAATCCGCATCCTCATTTCCGCCCCCATCCTCCCCCCCAACCTCTTTCTACCATCCACCACCACCCTCCCCACGCCCCCTTCCCGCAAGAACCCTCTCCCAGGGCTAAGCGGCACGGATGACCTTTTTGACGACTTTGACAACCAGCTCATCAACCTGGGCCGCAGGACTGAAGACCCGGCCACCGCCCGGGAGGAAGGTCAGCTCCAGATTCTCAAGGATGACCCTCAGGGGAACACGCCAACTGATGACGTCACTGGTGGAGCGGCGCAAGACACCGGAGAGCAAACAGCATGAGGAGAGTGTGAGAAATTATACACTAAGGAATAAAGGCTGTGATGTTACAATCTCAAGGGTTTCGTGTTTCCTTTATGTGCAGGATGAGAGAGAAATAGAGCGTGAACAACACAATTACTGTGTGTGTTGTGTGTTTGTCGTGTCAGATTCTAGATTAAGGTATTATTCTTTCTTTGCTTTATTTTTTAAAATCTCTATATCTCTTTTCTTCTCTCTCACTCTCTTTTTATATTCCTCTCTCTTTTTCATTCCTTGTCTGCCTGCATGTCTGCCTGCCTGTCTACCTTCCTGCCTGCCTGCCTGGCTGCCTGCCTGCCTGCCTGCCTGTCTGTCTGTCTGTCTGTCTGTCTGTCTGTCTGTCTGTCTGTCTGTCTGTCTGTTTTTTAAATAAATATTTTTTTCCCCTTTCTTCCTTGACTATCTTTCAGTCTCTCAGTAACTTTTACTTTTTCTCACCCTTTGTCTGAAAAGCTTGACTACCCTGAAGGAACTGCCACGCTCACACTTTTGTAAAACATGACATTAATATCAGTTATATTGATCTGGCACTTGCTACAACACAAACACACACACACACACACACACACGTTCACACACACACACACACGCATACGCACACGCACACACATACACAATTTACATTCAGGCATTTATCTCCACCTTTAAGAAAGAAAATGGTGGAGTGCTACATCTTCCTTAAATTCCTATAAGTCACTGAGACCTCAACTGAGAAATAAGAAAACGAAAAAAATATTTATTTTGTGGTGTCCGTGACCTAGTGGTTAGGCTTTCAGGCTTGCAATCGTAAGGTCGTGGGTTCGAATCTCTTCAGGGACCCGACTTTGTGTCCTTGGGAAAGGCACTTAAGGCGAATTTTCTTAACTTCAGCCAGGAAGGAATAGGTACCCAACTATAGGCAGTGAAAGATCTTGTCAGTTTGTTACTGTTTGAGCGCTTTATCAGCTGCTTACACTGTATGCTTCCTGGGAAGCTGAGAATGTTTATGAGTAACCACTCATTCGTTGATATGATTTAGTTTTCCAAGAATTGTCTAGCGACATTGTCCCTGGGAGAAAGTGCTTTGTTTTGCATGGGGATGTCTACTGGAATGGCAATGTGACAAAAATATGGGAAAGACATGACGTCCTAGCACTAGTCCGATACAGTCCACTAAACCAAACACCCTGTTTTGTTAATTCCACCCCAAACCACCCCAAAAATGGGAGTTTCGTGGTCTCTGTTTCTCACTGACAGATGATTCTGTCCAAAATCTAACTAACACAGTCCATATGCAAGAAACAAAAGGTCTTGTGCTCTACACGAAACCAATACCTCCTTAAAAAAACCAAATTATACCAATGAGCACATGTAATGTTAAGTCATGGTTTTTCGTGGTATTTGTGACTGCTTTGTTTTCCAATCTGTCTGAAAATATCACCCGAAGATTCTGTTGTTTACAGAGACAAACATATTTTCCTTTAATTTAATATTCAAAACATGCCCATTCCACTAATATTGATGCTCCTTAATACGCGCGAACACATTTCATGTTTGTTTGATTTCGCACCATTTTGCCAGCCCTTAAAATTTTCTCGTTTCACCTCCTTTCCTGCTCTCTTTAACAATGTTCTGTCGTCTGCTTTCGTCTCCACTTTCTGCCCTACCCACTCGCCTCCTTTGCCCCCTTCTCTGGGCTTCTGACTCTTTTTACAACCTTTCTACTGCTACTCCTTGGCTCCTTCTTACTGTTGTCTTCCAGTCACACTCCTGATCTTCTGCGTTTGTTTGGTTTGGGGTATGACACATAGTGTTTTGATAATGTAACTGGCAAATGAAGTATAACATGATAGACTGTTTTCAAAGTTGTTCTGTGAAAACACTATCTTCAATCACAGCCCAGCAGCTCCTGTGGAATCGATCATTATTTTATGTCGAGACAGCATTGATTCCAGATCTCCTTTAGCTGCTTTAGAAATGTGTCACTCTCTGACCGGTCGTGTTATCTAAGTGACACCCATGTACTTTTCTATTTGCGTATTCAGTTAAGCGTGTGTGAGAAGTCCTCCACTATGTGTGTATATTTTCCCCTTCTGTGAAGCCACAACGTCCTTCTTGTCCTCAAAATGTTCCTTCTCCCACACCCTGCACATTTAGTTGGTATAGTTGGTTGTTTGTTGATTATACTTTAGGCTACCGAACTCGTAAATGTTTGGTTTTGGTTCAAGGGTTCGAAGCTCAGCTCAGCTAGATGTTGTGTCCGTGGGAATAGCAGTTATTAATACGAATTTCCCTCACTTACTCAAGTGGGACTGAGCATACATTGATACAGTTTGTGGGTGCTTTCGGAGCCTGTGAAACGGCAGCTTTCACCGTACGCGTCCCGGGAAAATGAAATTTTCTCCGATTGCTGTCAGGTAAACCGGAAAAATAAAATAGATTGTAAAGTGCATAGACCTAGAGCTTGCTTGTGTCGCACATAACTTTGCCGTACAAAATTAGTAGAATAATATAAGAATTATTAGTTGTTGGTAGGCATATGAAAAATATAAATATCTAACTGCTCCTACCCTCCTCTCACTTAAAACTTACTCCCCTAGATGGTTACATGGAGGAGATGGCAATGACATGAGTATTGCTTAATTGATTACTTGATTAATTAATCAATTGATTGCTTGATTGATTTGTTCACTCAGTGATTGATTGTAAATTGTTTATACACACACCAATCGACATATTTCGCAATTTATATATTTTTGGGGACGCACTGGCCTGTCCTTGCCTATCAGTTCAAATCCGGACTGTTTGAAATACAGAATCTTAGCATATAAACTATGATTTATTGTTTAAAGCAAGAACATTAAACAACTCCACCATGAGGAAATCTCACTTCACGTCTTCTTCCTACATCCCAGCAGAACAATATTGTCTACGATTGTTACGTCATTTTTAGAG